CACCTCAGACGCCTCACCGACGGATGGCAGGTTAAAATCCCCCATGACCATAAGCCTGGGGGTGTCAACCGCCACCGCGGCTATAACATAAAGCAGCTCGGGCAGGGCTGCCGTCACGTGGCAGGGAGCCAGGTACGTAACCAGCACACCCATCTGCACCCCATGACCCCACTTCACAAGGAGGGACTCACAACCAGCCGTCTGAGGAACAGTGACCTCCCTCGGACCAAGACCTTCTCTAATGACAACCGCCACCCCCCCGCCCCTCCCCTGTGTCCTCGGCTGATGGAATGCACGGAAACCGGGTGGGCACATCTCAACGAGGGGAACCCCCCCTCCTGGCCCAACCAGGTCTCCGTAATACCCACCAGGTCCGCTCCCCCCTCCTGAACAAGATCACAAATGAGGGGGGCTTTATTTACCACGGACCGGGCGTTGCACAGCATCAGTCGAAGGCCCAGGGCCTGAGGGTCTGTGCAACCTGGGGAACGAGAGGAGCATTGGAGGCCGGAGCGCGCCACCGCTTGGAGCCAGCGGGCGCGTGCTCCCACAATCTGATGTGGCCCCCTGCTCCCGCCATATCTGCCCCTCCCACCCACAGTACTGATGTAATGACCATCCATAACACAAGCTCTAACCCCCACCTTGACCCCGGTTCCCGCATCTCTAGTGCTGTGCTCTTCAGCCGGCTCTGGCCTCCTCCCCGACAGGTTCTCCCCCAAACCCACTGAACCCACCCCCCTCCCAGAAACCTTTAAAACCTTATCTAAAAATTTCCCTAAAAAACCCCACAACCCCCTCCTCGCCGCATGCCACCTCTCGGGATTCCAAAATCCATCATCAAGGTAGGCCCTCGATAGTGAGGAGGGCCAAACCTGCGAGAGGGGGGAGTCTCGCAGCGCAAGCAGGTCAGCAGCCGTAAACATCGCACAAAAACAGAGATGGAGAGTCAATTGGTCAGGGCTTCACCAGATCGTCCAATAATACTGGGTCAAAGTAGATCTTCATATCAGGAGCTGGTTCACTGCCCTCTCACGACAGTGAAAGGGGCCAGTGACATCCCCCCACGTCTGGAGGATAATTATCCCAGTCACCCTCTCACAGTGACTGGGGCAGATGACACCGACAATAAAGTCACAATAGTCCATCCTTTCATCTGGCGGATGACAAACAGCCCCCTCAGCACCTGCACACCATTTTGCCCAGTTCTCCTCCAGTTTTAATTGGTTTTAAATGGGATTTTAAATTTGGGGTTTTATAAATTGGGCCTATTATTTAATAATTTTAATTATTTTTAAATTTTGTCTGTCTTTGTGTTTTTAATTAGGCTGTACACCGCCCTCCGCCCTTCAGGAGAAGGGCGGTATAGAAATAAAATTAATAAATAATAAATAAATAAATAAATAAATAAAATAACCATTAAAAAACTGTTGGAAATGCAAAGCCACTAATAATTAAAGAATACTACCTAAGATTATGAAGACTAGTAACTATTGATAGCCCATTCCTCTAGAATGTTTTCCAATCCCCTTTTAGAACCAGCTAAATTTATGGGTACCGTCACATTGTCTAGCACCAAAGTCCATACTTAATCTGACATGTCAACAAATGCTTCTACCCTTTCGGAAAGTCTCTAATTTCTAAATGTTAACTTTTAGAAAAATTCAAAATGGATTGAATTCATTTAAATAATTTTTTTGACTTGCAATAATTTCACAATGGTTTATCAAAAATTTCAAAATTTAAAATTATGTATTGAGCTTTGAGTGTAATTCATATTTTAATAGTTAATCAATTGATGCTATAATGCAGAGCTTTGGGGACTTTGAAAAAAGAAAACAGATTATTAAAATAAATCATTTCAAAATGATAAATATAAAAAATTATTTTAGGTGTGGAATATTAGGATCACTTGTGAAATGTAATAGTTTTGCTTATAGGGTTAATTATAATGTCTATAATGGAAAGGACAGTATATTTTTTAAATAAAATCTGATGAGTTCTTTTTTTAAAAAAATGGAATTAGGGTAATTTTTCCAGAACCACTAGCAATCTATATTAAAGAAGAAAAATAAGGAAATAATTATGCAATCTCATTATTCCGCACTACTGATTTTTAATGTGAGTTGTTGAGCATTCGAGGAAGGCACTTGAAGCAAACTGGAACTTGATAAGCTTTTATCTCAGTTTCTACTCTTTAGAAAACATTTTAGAAAGAGAAAAAGGTGCTAGCATTGTAGTAGCAGCTAATCTACTCTATTTCCACAGTCTTTATGCAAAGTGTTTTTAATATATGGTACATTTTTATTGCTTTTAAAAATAATCACAGAAAAAGAAAAAAACAAAAGGTACAAGACACAAAATTATTTGTACTATATATTTTGTTTTTTTCTATTTTATTCTGACACTTATTTTTAAGAACTTACGCATTTTTTTTCATTACAATCTTAATGCAAAGTTTACTCTATTAGGTAAAAAGCATAAAGAATACGTTGACATGCCTCTCAGGAAAGAAATTTAAAAAGAAATTTTAGAGGATGGTTCCTGGAATCTTTCCCTCACATTTTGGAAATGCTTTATATCCTTAGCTTCTCCCTTTGATCTAGATGCTCAGTGCAGCAGAGATTGAAAAGATGAATTATCATTTTTTAAAAACTCAGATTGTAATAGCTATAGATATGGTTATAAATGTAATTATTTGTGTCTTTTAACAAGCTACACAGATAGACAGTAGATAGAGAGAACAATGACTCAATTTAGGGTAATTATCCAGTAGTTTTTTTATGCATTGTTTATAACAATCAGGATAGAAGCATCACAGCTGCCTGATTATCTCCATAGGAAACCATATGGTAGCGCAAAGAAAAAACTAAATATTAGTCTGAATCTTGGAAAATGACAATTGCAAGATTCATTATGGAGCTGGCTGAATTTGTGGTTTTAAAAGTTTGAGCAGTAAAAGACATAGACTTGTCTACCAATACAGGTAGTCCTTGACTTACAACAGTTCATTTAATGGCTGTTCGAAGTTACAATGGCACTTTAAAAAAGCGATTTATGACCATTTTTAACACTTACAACCATTGTAGCATCTCCATGGTCACATGATCAAAATTCAGACACTTCGCAACTGACTCATATTTATGACAGTTGCAGGGTTCCGGGATCATGTCATCACCTTGTCTAACCCTCTGACAAGCAAAGTCAATGGGGAAGCCAGATTCACCCAACAGCCGTGTTACTAACTGCAGTGATTCTCTTAACTACAATGGGAAGAGACATCATAAAATGGGGGCAAAATTCACTTAACAAATGTCTCACTTAGCAGCAGAAATTTTGGGCTGAATTGTGGTCATAAATTGAGGTCTACCTATAGTTGCTTTTCCCATTGGAGCTATTCTGCAACATCTGGCACATTTTATTAAGCATGTAACACTAATTTCTTTCAATGGACCTCCCCAAAGTCAGCAAATATACTGTGGGCCCTCAGAAGCTTTGGGCTGCAATTCTCCTCCATGCTGGTTAGGTTAGATTATAATTTGTAGTCCAACATGTGTGGTAAAAATATTATAATCTCCCTAAACAGTTTTTTCAGATTATTCATTATTACATAGAATTTGGGGTTTTTTAAAAAATAAAATACTCCTGTAATGAGATTCTTCCAGTTTAAAGCTGTTTATTTATACAGTCCATACTAACATTACAGATTTTTTAAAATGAGAGATTTTGATGACAGTAATACTTCACAACACTAAAAGAGAGCTTCAGAATCAGCAGATTTGAAAAAGAATAAACCATATGAATAATTATAGTTTCTTGATAAAAAAATATAGAAGATTTGGTCATAGACTAACACATCCATACTAGATATTTTTTGCAGGCAATACTCTACGGTCATATTGTTTTAATAACCTAGTGTAGGGTTTAAAAGTCTTCCACAAGATTTTGACAAAAGATGCCAATATGGCTAAATTCAAATGCTTCTGTGTATGCATTTCTTCATTTGTTGGCTAGGATTAAAATCAAACATTTGTTCATCACTATTGAGCTGCAGTCCTTGCTTACAAATGACTGTATATGGTAAAATAAAAGCTATATTTTGCAGAATTTCATCAATGGCTATGCCTACATTAATATTACGCTATGACATAGAAATACAGTTGAACACAGTGGGGCTTTCTTCTGAATATATAGATTTGTGTAAATAGTGAAAAACTATCCAGAATTCATATCAATATCAGTCAACATTCAATTTTTGTCAAAACAAGGAACTTTATTACTCAAACTTTTAAAAAATATGATTATATGGAACAGAAACATAAACACCTATCAAGATAGGCACTTGTATTAAAACATGCAATGCCAGAAACTAAAGATATTATGATTTTTCACATATTCTTTTTGAAAGGACAAAAATAATGTGCAACAAAATAATCATAAAATGCTGATTTTCCATATCTCCTTGATTAAAATTAACTTCGGGAAAATGATTATCTGGGTTATTAAGACATGCCTTGGTTTATAAATAGAAAGGCATCTCTAAAGATTACTTGCTGTAAACATACTAGAGATTTTTTGGTTGTTTGTTTAAAATAATATCCTGGTAACTGCCTCTTTCAGTTCGAATAAATTCAGACACATTTGCCAAGGCATGTAAGGCAAAATTCCCGAGCCCGTCACTAAATATTCAGAACATTTTGAAAGATGCTGAGCTATATAAAGTTCCCTCTTGCAAAACCTCTTTTTGCCTTTCAAAATCTATCTATCTATCTATATATGAATGATTTCTCCCCACATCCTCTCCCCTTCCTTCAAAAAAAAAAATCTCCCTTTTCTCTCTCTCTCCTATTTCTAATGCTTGGGCAGAACTAAACATCCATTGCACATTTATTTCCTTAGATAAAAATCTGTACCAGTCAGTGAGCATCATTATGTGTTCCTTATAGAACAGAGATTTGCAAAAGGATTAAATTTAAAGCAACAACAACATAGAAACTTACCTGAGGGAAATAAGTCTGACCTATACCATTCAGTTTTTGTCTGTCATAGTAGTAGAGATTTGGGAGAAGGAGGGGGGGGGGGGGGGAGAGAGAGAGAGAGAGAGAGAGAGAGAGAGAGAGAGAGAGAGAGAGAGAGAGAGAGAGAGAGAGAGAGGGGATCAGATAGAATCTTTTGCTATGACGGATAGCTGGCTGATTTTCTTCTATCCAGCTGAAACTCAGTTCCCTTTTCCTCTTTTATGACCAATCAGCAACTGTTCTGGGGGGCTTTTTGCATTGCTTATGGGGCTCATGGGCTTACCTTCTGCCTTCCTATTTGGATGCTGGGGTTGTGGTTAATGCTAGTGCTAGGGAGTGACAAGCTCCCTCCAGTCACACTCCTTCTTCCTCTCGGCGGTGAACCAGTTGTAGCTTTTGCTGCTGCTACAGCTGCTATTAGTACCTCAATGGCGACAGCAGATCTCATCTAAGCTTTTAACTGCCACCTACTGAATAAATAGGGGATGCACATCTTTTGCAAGGAGCTGCATTCTGCCTTTATATATTTATTTGGTGGCTGAGTTCTGGTCACTCCTTTCTGCCATGCAGGGAGTCTTCCAGAACTCAGAAGTATTATTCCATGAACAGCTCTGGATTGGATTGGATTCTCTGGATTCCAATTGTGCCTGGAAAGTAGTTTTCTTCTTCCAGCCTCAAAGTTCAACTGGAAGAAATTGGGATCAGGAGTAACAGAATTTCAGCACCAGAAAACCTAAAAAGTTGGCCGGGTTCATAGTTTTGATTGGCATAGGGCTGTGATGGCGAACCTATGGCACACGTGCCACAGGTGGCATGCAGAGCTATATCGGTGGGCACATGAACGTTGCTCTAGTTCAGCTGCAGGACGCATGCGCGCGCTGGCCAGCTAATTTTCAGACATTTTGGGCCCACCAGAAGTCGGCAAACGGGCCATTTCCAGCATCCAGAGGGCCTCCGGGGGATGGGGAAGCCCATTTTTGCCCTCCCCAGATCCCAAGAAAGACTCTAGAGCCTGGGAAGGCGAAAAACGTGCCTACCGGGCCCACTGTGCCACATGTGCAAGACCCCCCCATGCTCCCTGCACTTTTGGCACTCGATGGCAAAAAGGTTAGCCACCACTGGCATAGGGTATACACTTGTGGCAATTTAGAGGTGCAGATCCAATCACAGATGAATCTCTGTGTCACATTGATCCTCTGACAATTTTTGGATGCTCTTCGTGGGGAAATTTTATTATGCTAGACCAGGGGTGCCAAACTCAATTTCATTGAAGGCCGCATCAGGGTTGTGTTTGACCTTGGGGGGGGGGGGTACATGGCCAGCTCGACATCCATTTTTGGATGTGACACTTTTCCAGGGCAGCCCCGCAGACCAGATCTAAGCACCCTGTGGGCCGGATCCTGCCCACGGGCCTTGAGTTTGACATCCCTGTGCTAGACTCTGATTTCTTCCAATTGAACCGTGGGGTGTTTGTTCAATAGCAGCTACCCATTTGCAAGCAGAGAATCTGCTTTGTTTCATTGTAATGGATGGGTGGGACATTTGAGGCAGTCACTAGAGCAGCACTTCTCAATATAGCCACTTGAAGACATCTGGTACTTCAACTCCAGAATTCCCCAGCCATTACTACTAATAATGCATTATTGGATTGAAAAAGGACTTAGAATAATACAGTAAAAGCAGATCAGCATCATCACAATTATCACAAGACTTCTGAGTATTCTTTTTTATAGAGGAAAAATGGTTGGAGGGTTTTTCTCAGTGAGATGGGCAGGACAAGACATTTTGGTTACTAAGTAGATAAGGGTTCATTGATTGAGCTCTCTCAGCATGCATCTCTCAAACTTTTTATTGGTTACCTCTTTACCAGCACTTCAGAATCTCAAACATATCCCTCTATTGTCCTGATACCCTAAAAGAGTCAGAAGAGCCTGACCTCACCTTGTGAAATAAGAAGACATGGACTTCTTGTAGTCCTCGACTTACAACAGTTCATTTAGTGACTGTTCAGAGTTACAACAACACTGAAAAAAGTGACTTATGACTATTTATTTATTTAGCTTATGGCTGGTCACACACAATATTAAAACACTTCATTTTTACAGGTTAAAACAATTAAAACAATTAGAAAAAGAGCAGTAAGAAAACCTAAGAGGAAAACAGAAATAACATTTCAGAGTTTAATGTCGAGTTTGGAGATCCAGTCAGTAGCTGTCGTTATGCAGAGAAAGTCCTAAAATCTCCTGGATACCTTCTGTTAGAGCATTCCCTCACTATATGTTGGATAATCTGTCAGGGGGCCCCGCAATCACATTGTGCTGAAGGTGTCTTTTCCCATTTATACAAGGAGTCGCACAGACCCCTTGAGTCATTCTAATTCTATTGTATGTCACCCATATGTGTCGGGGCAGATTAAATCCTGGAGGTATACTATTAGGATTAATATGCTCAGAAATATCTTGGGGGGGAATAGCTACTCCACGCTTCCATCCACTTTTGTGTGGTGTTCTGATGATCGGCCAGCAGCTTAAGCGCTGTCAAGAGTGGTGGGTTTCTTAATCGGCATCTTAAGAGATCAGGAATGTAGCCATGAATGGGTAGAGAGCAATTTAACAGGATCTTACTATACTCCCAAATGAGAGCTTCTTGTCGTCGTAAGTGCGGGGGAAGTATGTGACTAAGAACTGGTAACCAGTAACTAGGTGTAGATTTTATGCACCCAGTAATTAGCCTTATTGTATGGTTGAACATCAGTAAGTCCTGTATGTGAGCTGTTTATCCATACAGGTGCGCAGTATTCCGCTGCAGAGTAGCAAAGTCCGAGGGCTGCACATCAAAGAGTTGGGGCTTAAGCTCCCCAAGTTGTTCCGCTTAGTTTTTGTAGAATGTTATTTCTGCTGTTAACCTTGGCAGCCATATTCTGAATATGTTTTTTAAAAGACAGAATCCTGTCTAAGGTGACCCCCAGGTATTTTGGTATTGCCTCATATGGGAGCAGTTTAGGTATACATTGAGTTCTCTTTTTGCCAATTTGTTGTTAAGGTGAAAACATGATGTAACTGTTTTACTTACGCTTGGGATTAACCTCCATTGGTGGAAGTATGTACTCAAAGTTGTAAGGTCAGCTGTAAGTACACCTTCTGTAGCTTCGATGTCCTTGTGGCTATATGCTAATGCCAGGTCATCAGCATAAGATAACTTGTTGATAGTGTGGGTGGCATATCGGAAATATATAAGTTAAATAGAGATAGGGCCAGCACGGAGCCCTGAGAGAGTCTGTTATTCAGGTGTCTTTGCTTGCTGATTTTGTCACCCATGATGACTTGAAAGGTCCTTGCTGAAAGCATGTTATTTATTAGGCGGCCCATAGTCCTACAGGGGACAGCGTGGAGGAATTTGCTTAGTAGGCCCTCCCTCCATACTGTATCGTATGCTGCTGTGAGATCCACAAATACAACAGATGTTTTCAATTTATTCTGATAGCTGCTTTCAATATGGCTTGTAAGACTAAGGAACTGATCAGCACAGCTCCGATAAGATCTAAACCCAGCCTATTCAACCGATATTTGTTTGTTAATTTTCTGTCCGATTCTGTTAAGTATCAACCTTTCAAGTAGTTTATAACAGACACTTAACAGAGCAATGGGGCGATAGTTTTCTGGCTTATTGCTTTCTTTTCCAGGTTTTAATATGCCAATTACCTTGGTTCTTTTAAATTCTGGAGGGAGCTTACTGGTAGTTAGAATATCTGTATAAAATTTTGCCAGCCATTCTCTTGTGCGAGGTCCAGAATGGATGATCAATTCTGGCATTACCATCAAAACCAGGAGATTTATGACTGTTATTCACAGTTACGACCTTTCAAGCATCCCCATCATCATGTGATCACAATTCAGAAGTTTGGCAACCGATTCATATTTATGACTGTTGTTATGTCCCAAGATCATGTGATTGTCCTTTTGCGACCTTCTGGTGAGCAAAGTCAATGGGGTTACTACCGGGTTACTAATTTATCAACTGCAGTGATTCACTTAACATCTGAGGCAAGAAAGGTTGTAAAAATAGGGCAAAATTCACTTAACAAATGTCTCATTTAACAATAGAAATTTTGGGCTCAATTGTGGTTGCAAGTCAAGGACTACTTGTATTGAAAGGTTGCCAGAAAATATCCTGTGGTCAGTTTGGTGCTGAAGGAATTTTGATGTCAAAACTCATTTTCTGCACTTTAGACTAACTTAAAAAAAAAAAAAGCAAGAAAAAAGGATGCATTTGGACCTGGAAGTCCATTTTCTCAATCCTAGAAAAATTGAATCTTTGCTTGTTACTCTCAAGAATGTTCCTATTTTGGTTATAAATTTTCTGGTATTCAGAATACATGAAAACTGTGCCAATGAATGTGCTATAGAGAGGTAGTGTAGAATAGTGTCCAAAGCAATGTTTCTTAATCTGGCAGCTTTAAGATGTGTGGATGTAACAGAGTAACAGAATAACAGAGTTGGAAGGACCTTGGAGTTATTCTAGTCCAATCCACAGTCAAGCAAAAGACCCGTGAAGATAAGTGGGGGGGGGAGTATTCATACTTGTAACATTCTATTATCATAAATTTATCATAAAGTAGCATTAGCATTCATAATTCTGCCATCCTTATCTGGTCTACTTTGAAGGGCTCGTAGTAACATATGCAGAGGTGGGCTGTTGTCAGTTTGTACCAGTACGGGCGTACCAGTTGTTAAGATTCAGCGAACAGGCAAATCCCACCACTGGCTGGTCCCCCATCCCACCCTGCCCCACCCTATCTTGCCTCATCCACCTTGGCCAGTGGCTAGAGTCATGTCTGTACCCAGCGGGTGCCTCTGGCTCCTTTGCTCACTTGCCCAGACCACGTGGCCCAGCTGAACTCCACGCCTTGCCCGCTTTGCTCACCGCGGCTGGCCACAGGGCCGCTTCGGGATGGACATGGCCAGGCTTCGGGCCTGGCTCTCGCCATCCTTCCGCCTGCATGCCACCTGCTCGCCCTTCACCTTGGGTCAGCTCCAGCCAACAAAGAGGTGGCTGCTGCAGGTCCTTTGTACTGGCAAAAAGTGGCAGCTACAGAATTCTCGCACCAGCAAAGAATGGCAGCCAGAGGATTCTCACACTGACAAAAAGGTGGTGGCTGCAGGATTCTCACGCCAGCAAAGACTGGCAGCTGGTGCGTCCCCCAACCCAAGGCAAAGGGCAAGCGGGCGGTATGTGGGCAAAGGCCCAGGGGAAGACCAGAGCCAGGGACTGGTGCATTCCTGGACCCAAGGGAGAAGGACTGAAGAAAACTGGCGGCTGCAGGCTTCTCGCGCTGAAAAAGAGCCGCAGTGGCTGCAGGCCAGTGTCTCGGGTCAGGGTCATGTGCCCAGCTGCACCAACAAAGGCCAGAAGTAG